TCCCTTTTGAAGCAGGTTTTTCTGAAAAAAAGTTGTGTCACAGGGAAGTGTGTCTGTTCTTGAAAGAGGACACAGGTGAGCACGCTTTGTCTAGGAGGAGCCCAGCAGACCTTGCTTTAAGCCAAAGACGAGGGACCGGGGAGAAGAGAAGCAGCCTTTCTCCTCGACTGGAGTAGATGGAGGAATCTGCCAAGATGGGAAACAAGTGACACAAAGGCCGGGCACAGCAGAGGAGAGTGAGTGAAGGTACAGCCGACCGGGGTAAGTCTTTGTGGCACAGAGGAGAGGTGGTGATTTCAAGTAGCCTTCACAGGATGGGCGGCAAACATAAAGCCCTTTGCATGTTCCTTGAAGCATTTCACTGTGGCTGTTAAGGGAGGGATTCTCATCCTGAATCCTGTTCCACAAGGGCTTTTCTGCAAAATGGCGCTTTGACTCGTTTTCTTCCTCTTTGAACAAATCTTCCTTTTGTAGTTCAGCCGAATTCCAGCATTAATCAGGCCACTGTGGTACTGGGTTACTGGCATTCTGTCTCTTGCTCAGCGGGCAGGCAGTGGTGTTTGAAGCTGGTCGGGGTGGGGGCTTGGTGGGGCTGGGAAGCGAGCAGGGATGGGACCTGCTGACAGGGGGCCTTTGCGCAGCCCAAAGCAAGAGGGAATGGGGGGGGGGGGAGGTGCAGAGGCTCATTTGTTGGGGCTACCAGACATAACCCTCTGCTGCTTTTTTGCTACCGGTGTGCATGAATGTGGTGAGTGCACTGCATGGGACTGTGCCTTCTGCTGCCTTAACGTAGAGATGGCAGTTCTAAACCCTGCCACGCCTGGGGGGGTTGGACAGGAGCTGCTTGGGAGCCACTCCGGGGGATTTGCCTGCCTCACTGAAGCGGCGACTGGGCAGGTATGTTTCTTCTCCTGCAGCATCAGCGCAGGCAGTGAGGAGGGGCACTGGGGCTGCGAAATGAATCACCCCTTATTTGTGCTGCTTGCACAGGATCTAACGTAGGTGGGTTCTGGACCACCAGGTCCTACAGTAGTGTCGGCAGGGAGGCACAGCAAGGGTAAGCGAGCCCTCTGCTCCAAACCCTGTGTGCATGTCTGCCCTGTGTCCCTGGGTTGGGATAGTCAGTGCGGGGATGGCTCCGCGTTACTGCAAAGCTGTGCAGGAATTCACTCAGCCCAGAGCTGTGTCCTGGGCTAGTGGGCTCCTAGGAGTTTGCACGGGGGAGCTGCTGAAAGCTGTGTAGCTCCAGCCTGAAATTTACAGTGCCTGGGTGCCCAGGGCCAGTGATTCCCTTCCTGCAGGCTGAGCACCTCTCCAGCCAAATGAAGATGAATGATGGCTGGAACAGTAACAGCACGAGGCTCTGAGCAGGGGCTGAGTTAAGTGCCGAGACTCAGCCCTGACGTGACTTGGCAGATGAGCAATACAGTAACCCCCGTGGGCCTGACATCAGCCCTGGCTCACAAGTGCCTCTTGGGGCACATGTACAGCTGAGCGGGGCAGATCAGTATCTTGTGTTTCTGCTGGATTTTAGCGGTCTGCTTCACCTCCAGCCCTGCAGAGGGGACAGCACCCTGCACTGTAGTAACTTGCACTTCACAGCTGCTGCAGCAGCCCTCTGCAATCCAAAGCCAACCAGTGAGTCGCTCAGCATTAGCACTGCACAGGCCCCAGCAATCCCCTGTCTCCCCGGTGGGTGTCAGCACCCAAGAGCTCTTCCCTACTTGGGACCGAGCACTGCTGGCTGGGGTGGCTTGGCACAGCGGGAAAGGGAAGGGCTGGCCTTGGACACAGGCACGCTGTGTCTCTGCTGCTGTAGGGTATAGCAGAGCAGCAACCACTGCAGGCTGTGAGCTGCTCTGGCAAGTCAGTTGAAGCCATTGCCTCTGTTTCATAGATGCTCTGAGACAGATCATTTACTGGAGAGCATGTGCTCCCTTCCCCAGCTGCTAAGGACAGAGAGAGAGACCACAGGTGAGACCTATCACCTACAGGGATTTCACTTGTCCCTGGGAATCTAAACTGTTATCCTTTGTGTACCTGGGGGCATGTTCTGTCTGCAAGTCACACACAGAGACTTCTACCACAGAGCTTCTTGTGTCCAGGCACTGAGAGGTGTGAGAATGCCTGATGAGAATGAGCTGGTGGCTCTTCATTAATCTTTGATCAGGACTGGCAGTGGCCAGCACGAGTTAGCCAGGCGTGGGAAGACCAGCTGTGACTTGGCTTTATCCTCACAGGGCTCAGGGTCCAAAGTCTGCTGCTCTCAGGCCCACTTTCTAGCAAAGTCTAATGGCTTGCTCACGCCTGCTGCGTTGGAATGAGCTAGCACTGCTCCCCGCTGCTTTGTGAGTATCTTCACTCAGGGTTGATGCCAGGGCTTTGCGCAGCACTCACTGCCCTTTTCCTCTGGTAGCTGCTGCCGGGGAAACAAGATGCAGCTTTTCAGGCCAGGCGCTGAGAAGGCACCAAGATGGGGCTGAGCCAGAGCCCCCAGGCAGGGCCTGAAAGGAAAGGCTCGGCCATGTTCCTAGAGACGTCCAAGCTGACTGAGAAAAGCTGGTCTTTTCTCAGCCACCACAGGGCTGTTTGTGTGCCCTGTCGTCCTGGGCACTCGTGGGCAGGGTGCTAAGGGCTTTGTGCCTCCCTCTGCAGCTGCGCAGTCAGGGAGCTGCTGTGCATTTAAGGCAGGCAGAGCTGGGCGTGGTGGCTGCTGCCTAAGAGACCTGTGTGCTCTTAAGGTAAAGGAGGTGTAGGTGGGTGCATACACCCTTAACACTAACAGGTACTGATACTTGCCACAAGAGACCAGCCCTCAACACAAACCCCATTCCAAAGGGCCAGCATTAGCCCTGCTGTCAGCAAAGCAGGCAGGCTGGCCAAGAAATAATGGAAATGAATTGTCACTGAAGCTTAGACACAAATATTTATTAAGCACAACCCTCCCCTTCCCCTTGAGCTGTATTCATTTCTAATATATTAATTCATTTGGCAGATTATTTTTTAGAAAAAAAAGTACCTGTGGGTTGGAAATTCCCCATTAAAATGACATTAGCAAATGCACATGTAAAAAATAAATAAGCTCATACATTCAAGTATATGGCAAATAATTAACACCTCTGAAAGCTTAATGGTCAGATTCCAGTTCACCACCTGGCTGAGAGCTGCACAGGCCTGAGCCTGCAGCTGGTCAAGTCATCTTCACCTCTAATGTTCTCCTCCTCTGTACAAACACAAGCTGGGTTGGTAGGTCAGTGGCTGGGCAGGTCCTCTCCCTTCTCCAGAGCTCTGACCAGCCCCAGGAAGGAGGCCAGGCCTTGGCCAAGCAGTCCCTGCAGCAGTGTGGCAGGTGAGTGCTCCCTGGTAGCAGGTAAAATGCAGCTACCCCTCCACATGGTCAGTGCAGGCAGGTTAAATGCCCAATGAGCAGCATCACTGGTCTAAAAAAATCTTACTGCTGGTTGGAAATGTTTCCATCAAATGCATTTCAAATAGAAAGTGCTGATTTGTTCTCTATAGGAACATATCTGCTTTGGCAGAACTCATTACTGCAGTTTCTGAAGTCCAAGATCACCTATCTGGTCAAGCAAAGAAAAAAATAACCTCCTGAAGTTAGATCTGCGCTCCTTCCTCTCTGGGCTTGCTTTTCCAACTGTTCCAAAAGAGGAAGGAATGAAAGTAAATGTAGACCCTTGCGCTTGTGTGTGGGGTGGAACTGACTTCCCAGCCAACACCCGGTCTGGAGCTCTCGCAGGCTCCGTTTATTGGGGACAGGTTGGGCAAAGCAGGAGTGCCTTGCCAAGAGCAGCTCTGCCGGGGCCTGCAGGGCCAGGAGAGGCTCAGCACTCGCTTTGGGAGAAACAAGGGGAGGGAAGGGCTATGATGCCCGACCACTGTCGGACACAAAAAGGAGGAGAGGATGGTTCTGCTGCTCTCGTGACAAGCCATGGCCAGGAAACTTTGCTGGCTCTTGAAGCGGGTCCTTGCCAAACGCAGGCTTCTGCTTCGGGCACACTCACCTGCACACAGGACAGTCCTGCACCGGACTTCTGGCTCAGCGGCACCAGAAACGATGAGTTGCCCAAGTTTGTCTTGTGCTGATGGGCAGAGAGACTTCCTTCCTCCCTTCCCAGGCACAGGCCCCTGTCTCAGGCTGCAGTTCGGGCTGCACAGCTGGCGGTTGCCTTTTGGGCTTTGTCCCAGGCTGAAGCGGGGCTTTGCTGTTCTCTAGGGGTAACCAAATCCCACTATCGCTCGGGGCAGGCAAGGCTTTGCTCCCGCTCCAGAGGTCCCAGCACAGCCTCTGCACAGGACTGTGGCTGGGGAAGCCGAGGGGTGTCGCAGGGCTCACTGCAGAGTCCTCAGCAAACCTAAAATAAACTTAAAGGTGTGGGGGGCCCATGACTGCAGCTGGGGCAGGGTGAGGGTTGGAAGGACCGGTGTAGCCTCTGACTTGGGCTCATTTCCTCCTGTAGAAAGAACAAAGCTGAGCAAGACGTTCCAGGGAAGGATCCAGAGCAATGTGCGTCACCTTGTGATGCAGGCAAGACAGGAGGACTTCAAACTGGAAAAGGCTCTTCCCTTCCCCAGTTAAATTAATAAAAGTGTTGTGGAAATAAAAGACATCAAGGCTGGAGTAAAGTACCCACTCTGGGCTCCTCCTTTGGCCAACAGCACAAGTTCCTGGATTTTTAGGTGATAAGCAAAGGGGCTGCCAAAGTCGTCATCCCTCGTGCTGTGCCCAGTGTTACAGTGGCCACGTGTCCTAAAAAAACCCTTGTTTAAAAACCATCTCCATCTGCTGGTCCCTCCTGTAACACTGCCTCTGCAGAGCAGCCGGGTGCAACGTGATGGAGGAACAGCTCCCTGCGTCCCTGAGGTGGCTTCTGGGAGAAGTCTGTGGTAGCGCAGGAGCGCTCGGGTTTGAAACCACCTACACTTTTTTCTTTTTAAAAAACAAAATGAAACCAAAACAACCCCCCCAAGCCAAACCCCAGTTCTTAGCTGGAACCAGGCCTCTGCTGCTCCTCTGCTGCCTCCTCCTGGGTAGAGGCCAAATCTACCCGCTGCTCATCCATGCGTTTGGCCTGGACGCGCTGGATGAGGCTGAAGAAATCTTCGTCTGGCATCGTGGGGCCACGGGGAATGGAGTCTGGCGGTGCACAGCGCTGGTCATCTATCCTGGAGGACTGCACGGGGAGGAGAACAGGTGTTAGGACTGGGTACCGATAAGAGAGTCCTGTCCTGGGAGTCAAGGGCGGGGAGCAGCGCCCAAGAGGTGCCCCGAGCACGTGCTCCCATCTGGGGGTGTGGGGCAGCAGGACCAGCAGCGCTGCGCCCTGCTGCAGGCTCCGGTGTAAGGGAAGAGCAGGGACCCAGCCCAGGGCTATATGCCCTGCCTGGAAGGTGGGTTCTTCAGCCACTCTCTCGCCTGCAGAGCGGTGACAAAGTACAGAACAGGGTAAAAAGAATGACCTGGAGGCAAAGACAAGCACCTGCCTGGGTGCCCAGGGCTGTGGGTGGGCCACAGCCCCTCCCAGCAGGACAGGTGGGATCAGGGGGTGGCATTTGCCTGCATGGGAGAAACCAGTTTCCCTGCTCCAGCCCACTCAGCCCTGCCAGTACCTGACACTTCATGAGCATGTTAAAGAACTCGTCCCCGGGCTCCTGGGCGTCCCCCTCCACCCGCAGGTGCCCCAGGTTGTTGTGTGTTATCCGGAGGCCTGGCAGGTTGCCCACGTTGGCACGCTGGTCATCCAGCCGTCTGCTCTGGGAGCTGGCGATGAGATCGAAGAACTCCTCTGTCTGCGGAGATGCCATTAAGGAGGACTGGGCTGCGAGTGGGGAAGAGGAGCACACACGGGTCACAGTGCTGCCTGCTCACACCTGAGCTGCAGCCCTGCTGGCTGCAGAAAGCCCAAATCCTCATCACCAAACTGCTGTTCAACCAACCGC